AAGGAAAAAGAAAAAAAAAAAGAATGAAAGAAAACAGGTAAAGCGAAGAATAAAATTAGAAATAAAAATAGAAAAAAAAGGGGGATAGAGTATGAACACCTCGACAAACAACAATGCTGGCAAGAACGTATGGTGATGCAGTCGTCAAAGAAAAGAGAGCTGACTCAAGTCTATACTGCCCGAGTAGCCCGGACCCTGCACAATATTTGCCAAGGTACTCATAAAAGCGCTCACGACAAAACTCTTTTCGTCATCAATAACAGCCCCAGAGGCTTGGAGCGACTTGAATGAAAGGTGGTCCATGAGGCCCGCATTCCAGTCCCCGATGACCTGCACGATATGCGAGAGCAAATTATAAGAGTAAGGCATGCAAATCTCTGCATCAACCTTCGGGGATTCCAGAGTGTATGGGATGAGACCATTGTCGTCGAGGTGATCCTGTTCAACAGGTTCGGCGTCTGATTGTGTTTTCGCGACGGACGCATGCAGTGTGAGGAGTCCGACCACTACCTGCACTGTGCCTTTCAGCGAGTGTCTTCTGAGCGACAAGCGGCATGTCGCAGACGGTGTAGATTCGAGCAATAAGGCAGTCTTTCTCCGCTTCTGTGAATCTAGCCTGTGGTCTAGGGGAATCCGAAAAGGGATATTAAACACATGGATACCTTGCCTCAACGACCCTAATTCCATATGAATATCAGTGTCCGCCTTCTAGGAGGATAGAGGGTAATTCGACATACCTTGTAGAAACCGTGCAATGTAACGATCTCTTTCGAGGGATATCCTTTGCTGACGCCAAGTATCAGAGGAGAAACGTTCCAATCGCGGTATGATATAATTGGGTGCGGTTGCGCCGTCTTCATAAGCACGGTGAATGGCTGTTTTGTCTAGAAGGGACCCAGACACGGAGTTTCGGTTTCCACAAGGCGCTCTTAAAGCACCTTGCTTTCTCGCGATGACGGTCAAGGAGTTATGTAACTCTTGAAGAGCTATATCACGTTCTCCTGGATGACGACCATGTGCTTTTTCTTCGGGGTGTGAAGTCGGCAAAGACTTCAAGGCCATTCTGGTTTTGTCCTTTCGGTAGGGAGGAAGTGAGCGGGACTTCCTCAGCGCGAGCGCAGACTTGGGATCAAGAGGGCCAAAATGAGGAGACAAGGCTTCATCCGCAGGGTGAGGCATTTGCAGGTGAGGCATTTGCAGGCGAGGCATTTGCCGAACACAGCTCTTATCCGCACAGTTGTGACAGCGGTCGGCTGCTGCACCAAAAGTTTTGCATCTTGCACAGCCGTCGATACTGTGTCCGCAAGACCTGCATCGTCGAATCTCGGTAGTGTCAGGTTCCCGTGGGAGACTCTTGCCCAGAATTCCATTGGTGGATCCTCGGAGATGGGTCCTTCTATCCTCGGGCTGGTCGCTAGGATCCAACGAATCGTGCTGAACTGGCATCGCTGGTGACTTTTTTTGCGTGTCAGTGTTTTGGGTTTGGTGGTCCGGATGGTCCTTGCATTTCTCGACTGGATCGAACTTCTCTCTCTTGTTTGTTGACTCACATTGGCTGGTGTGTTTATCGTGTGGATCCTGGTTCCTTGGTGCGCTGGACTGACCTTGATGGGGATCGACTACATCCTTGGAGCATTGGTTGTTGTATCCGAAAGATTGTCCAAAATGAGGATTGGAGGGGCCTCCAGAGTAACCATCCCCGTTTCCATACGAAAAAGCGGAGGGTCCCCCAGGCCCGCCAAAGTTATTGAAAGACCCGTTTTGTCCACTGAAGCTACCGCCACCATTTCCGCTGTCGTCGCTGTTCTTTCTACTCCCAATGTGGCTTGTCTCGCCGGAATTATTTCCCAAAACACGACAGTGCCTTGCAAAACACTCGAAATAAGCAGCATACGAGTTCACAGGTTGAGGACAGATCCCGCAGTTCTGTGGCGCAGGTAGCCTCACTCCAAGGCTGTTGACTTGCCCTGCCGTCAAGCGTCCTATTAACCCGTGATATTTTCGATAGTGATCGTGTACCTTGTCCCGTCTGTGTGTATACCAGGGGCAAACAGAACAATTGTACTTGTACTCCGGTTCGTGTCTGTCGGTAACGTGCCGCTTGAATGCCCCTCGCTTGGAGCATTTTTGGTTTCTGCTGCTCGGGCACAGGAGACAACGATAGCTGAACTCATCTTCTGGGCTTTCGGCGGGGGACGGCGGTATCCTCAGCTCGATCACGGATTGGACCATGGACTCAAGCATTGGAAGGGTTTGTGACAAGAGATCCTTAAGCTCACTCAGTTGGGAAACTTCCAGGCAACCGAGGCTCGACTGTACAGTCGCACTAAGCCGTTGCAGATCGGTTCTAACGTCGCTGAGGGGATCGAATGTATAACCGCCAGTAGGTCCGGTCCAGGTCGGGTTGAAAAGTTCGATACAAGAAGCCTCTAGACCCTCCAATTCCGTGATGTGGGAAGATATTCCAGCTAGGGTATTTGCATTTCCCGTCACAAAGCCCTGATCCCCACCGGGTATTGACCCAAAGTCCGCTGCTAGGGTATCTGGGCCTCCACTGCCTGGGGAGATGGGAGACGGGTTCGAGGATGGGCTCTGAGACTGTGAGTGACTATCTGTCAGTCGAGAGTTCTGTACTCTTGATGGCAAAGGCAACGTACCTCCATGCCTGTGTCCAGTCTAGGTACCGATAACAGGGGACCCGGATTGTAGTCTGGAACATTAAAGACCAGTGGACCCTGGCCCATGACGGGCCCTTGGGCGCGACGGCGTTGTGTCATAAAGGGCAGGGGATTGGGTCGCTGTCTTGGTTTGGCAAGACAGCAGGGGATAAGAGGATCAGGTAAGAAGGACGACGATCAAGGAGAGATACTCGAGCAGAGAGTGTTATAAGAAGGCGAGGTATGCTAAAGATAATATGGATCAATCGGCAGTATATCTACTACCTAGATATATAAGGTAATTGACCCAAGGCCAACAAGGTAAGGATTGACGCTCTGATCAAATAGTACAATACCAGATATTTGACCAAAGGATGTCGACAGTAAGATCGACAAATTATATAGAGGGGAATAAAATATATTGACCACCCCTCTCCCAGTTGTGAAACTCGAGTGGAAGAAAAGTGAGAAGAGTAAAGAGAAATTGGAGGAAACTGGAGGGTCATCCAGTACTTAAGTGCTCCCTGAGGGAAAGCTATGTCTAAATGTACATTTCGCCCGTTGTTCATGACACCATCTAGGAACAAAGTTTGTGCCCAAAAAAAATACACGTATGCCCTAAAAATCATTTTTCCTTCGCCCTGGGCGATATCCTGCAGATCGGCTATTGAAAGTACTATAATTCATAGATATTGGCAAACCAAGCCCTTTATGGCGGTATGATTCTCGACCGTCCATCATTCCAAAGCCGCCTTACCAGAGTGGACTCATATGGGACGCATGATAGGCTGGTCCGGTCACTCGAAACGCGGTGTTTTTACCCCCTGCAAACAGATCCTGGAAATACTGGGATGGCTTTGCTGGGCGATGGACATACTTAGGTGGAAATCCATCCAACTACAAAGCTGTATTCTTGTTGGTTTCGAGGTATCTTGGTTGCCTGAGAAGAGACTCGAATGTGAGGCAAAGGGCACGGAGAAATACGGATACCACTGCATATACCTACCACCAAGCGACGACAGCGGAGAATTCTCAGTCGCCTCACCTTCAAATCTACTAGTTCGGACATTGACATCTACACAGGACGTTTTCGGGGATGTTCAACTTTCTTTTCCCTAGCGGTCTTGTCGATGTGGGCTCCCGTGGCGTCAACCGTGGATGATGGGCTTCAAGCTCCATCCCGCTGATGGAAATCTTGGTACTACACTAAGCACACTGCATCAACCTCCGATGATCTGGGAGCCGGTATTGGTCCAGCGATAGCCCCCTGACATGGGGACGATACATTGGAATTCAATTAGTCCGTGACGTAATGCGGCTCTGCGTCTGCCCTCACATTATCAGCTGGGAAAACAAGAATAAAAAAAATCTTCTCGAGGAAACATCCCCATGAGTTTCCCATACTGATACATCAAATCTGCATTTAGTCCATATCGCAGGACGAACTGTATTCGACTAGTAACGTGGGGATCCCATCGGACCCCACCAGCCCGTCAACATGCCAAAGCAAGTATTCCCCGCTTGGAGTCTTCCCGTTTCCCCAAGCTACTAAAGCCAATCTGACCATCATCAATTTCTCCTGCCCGATGCGAGCCCCGTAATAGTGGCAGCAAGGCTCTCGACATTGTCGGTTGCACTGCCTCGTTATTACCTAAGTCATCATCAGCCACGATCAATCCTCATTATTTCAATGGAGGAGAAAAGGATGGAGGGGGCTCAATGGTGTGCCTCACTGGCCCACCCGCTCCTCACGACCTGCAACCACGCCCCAGTCTAACCTCTACAATGCAACATGAACATGAAGGTGAATACACAGCCATGGGGGGGTGACAAAGCAAAAAGAAAAAGAAAAGAAAAAAAAAAAAAAAAAAGACAAACACTCAAAAATAAAAATAAAAAAACCTATTCTTTCCAACGGGGACTACAATGGGACTGGCTTCGGGAGAGGCAAAAAAAGCAAAGACTGACTGTCGAGTCCATCCCCAAGGAGCCTTCAGTGAACTGGAATGACTCATGGCGACGATATGATACGCGAACCCGTATGAAAATAAAAGTATTGTTTACATGGGACTAATCGTTAAAGGTAGGCTATGATCCATCACTACTTCATACACAACTCCAGGATCCCAACGGAAAATAGATCCCGAGTGGCGAAATAACTATAGCTTAGCTTCCCCAGCATCGGGTGGACCGAAATAGATTCAAAAACAGAAACGACGATCGTAGGAACCCCTTGCCTAGATTCACAGGTGCCCTTTTGTGCTTCCCATATGTAAGACCACTCTTTTGATATCTTGTAAGATTACTCCGTTGTTATCTTGTAATACCACTCTGTTCTTATAAATTGATAGATATACTTTACTTGACTTGGATGCTGTCAACCTCGGGAAGGGGGCGTGGCAGGGAAATATCCGTCGCTGTTTGTCGTTATGATCTTTAAAGTTCCCTTGCACGGAGACAGCCCCGCAAGCTTGTTCTTTTGTGTCCTACTGATGTCGGTCTAAAGCAGCACAAGCCAGTCGGGTATGATCATTAAAGACAGTTGAATGACAGTTCTAAACGATTGGAGAAAGACCTGGAACTGCACCCGCACTGCACTATGCGGCGATATACATCCGTGCGCATGTGTACCATGTATTTTCTGCCATCTCCGAGATCGCCCATGTTCGGCGCTTTGGAATACAAGCCATGGTACTGGGACAAGATTAAATAGAGAAACCCTCGACCGGAGATCGGCTGTCCAATGATACTCCGGCGTTCATACAACACAAATGGGTTGGTTACTTTCTATTTTGGAGTGCCCAGGCTATACTCCATACCATGATGCCTATTTGATCATGGCAGTGTCCGTGCTTTGACAGAAACAGCTTGAAAGGCACGGCCATACTCTATGCGGATCGGCATAATGGGAGGGGGCTGACTCGCTAGTTGTCGTGAATAGTATGGGCGGAAGAGGAAAGGTAAAGATAGAAAGCATGGTGATTGAAATTAATAATCAGACAAAAAAATAAATAGGAGATAATAATAATAATAATAATAATGGAATTAAAGATGTCAAAAATAATGAATGATAAATAATAAATGAAAACATTACTCACCTCTGCCACATCTGCGGGTGAGTTCAAATCCCACCCGAGACAAGCCAGCTTGACTCAGAAGTATATCCTAACAAAGCATAGACATGACGCAAAAGCAAACACGTCCCATTCCCACTACCCATACTAAGCACCTGCCGACGCATCTCATAGTAAAATGGTCAAAATGTTAGCAACGCGCAGAGGCCACGAGACGCGGTCGGACCCTTCCTCCCCCTTGAAGGTTGGTAAGAACCTTAGTAGATAGTCAACACACCTCCATCTTCAACACACCTCCCCAAGACGAGCCGCAGCAGCTGTCGACGTGGCCTTCGGCCAGTGCAGTGCAGTGCAGCTTCGTAATTCGCAATGCCAGGATCCAAGGGCCCGCCTGATACCGACAGTGAAGCCAGATGCCGAGAAGCCGGTGGCGTGTGCAGCAGGTCAATCAATTAATTAATCTTGATATCGATAGGTAGGCCCGATCGAGGGTAATGTCGAGAGGGGTAATGTCGAGAGGGGAAATGTCGAGAGGGGGCTGACTCGTGTCCTTGGCTTTGTTTGGGGGTGGATGGTGAGTACGTAGTAGCTAGGTAAGGTATCTTTGGCATGTGTCACGAGTGTGGGAGAGTCGCTGATGCTGACACAGCCCCCAATTCGCTTCATACTGATGTTGACGTGATTCTTGCATTTGATTCGTGTGTTTTGGCCATTGTGAGGGCTTGCTTGTTTCTGTGTCTGCCTGGTGGATTCCATGGAGGGAGGTTACGGATTCTTGGGAGGTATGGGAGTCAGTAGACTAGCACGTGGGACGGTCCTAGGCTTCATGTGGATCTTGTATGGTTCACGAGTGATGCTAGATCTCCCAGTCGAGAATAATTTACTCGACTCGTCCATCAATGGGCATTTTCGAAACAATGTTTCCTAGTCTGGTGGCAAAGTTCGCAGACGGGATTTTGCATCTGTGGCCGGGAGATAAGGCTTATCGGCGAGCTTGCTGCAGGAAAATCTTTGCAGTCATGCGGAGTACATCCAAATCGGAGACGTCAAATATACGAAGGCTAGTAGAGAGATAAGATCACTTGTTCGGGTCCATTCACGATTTCTACATCTACAGGTAAACCAAGTAACGCTTGGTGGCAAATCAAACACTATCGATCGCTACCGATGGTCAAGGGTACCCGGAGATTTCAACGTTGGAAAAACGCTTCCATACTCTGAGGGCCAGAGTCCAGGGTCCATCCCTGACATACATCAATGTAGGGATTTAACGGCCTGGTCAACACCTCGAGCCACCGCCAATGGAAAGAGGAAGTGGAAGATTTTTTTTTGTTTTTTGTTTCATTCCAGGGGAATCTATGCACAGGCTTGAGATGTGCTAGTACATCCGACAACCCATTTTTTCGCTTCGTCTCAATGAAAATCCACCCATAGATGGAGAAACCCAGAAACACCGAACAACCGCAGCAACCGAACCGTTTCGTTTAGATGTGGGTGTCGTAAGGGACGGGAGTGATGGTCTCGGCGGAGAGACCCTGGACAACGTGGGCCTCACGGGGCTGAGCCGGCTGGCGCTTCAGATGCAGGTGGATGCCCTGCTCCTTGGCCTGCTTCTTCTTCTCGGCGTTCTCACGGACACGGCGGATGAAATCCTCACGGGAGCGGGAGTGCTTGACGTGCTCGAGGCGGACGTTGATGCGCTTCTCGAGGTAGCGGTTGCGGACGATCTTGTACAGGATGACGCCGACGGACGACTTGGTCACGTTGTAGACGACACCGGTCTTGCCGTTGTAGACCTTGTGGGGCATACTGTTCGTAGAATCTCAGCAAGAACATTCCTTCAAAAGATTCGAGGATCTGCAAATGCTACCAAATCCGAATGACCGAATTTCATCGCAATTTGCAGTGGGCGGAAGTTTTACTGACCCCTTCTGGACGGCACCGTTGACGTGGACATCGACGATGTCACCGACCCTATAATCGCAATATTAGACCCTGTCATTTCCCCTTCTTTTCTCCCCTCCAATATATCATAACTCTCGGTGGGAATTCGGCGTACCGGTAGGTCTTCAGGTAGGTCGACAGGCGGATGCTACCGTGCTCCTTGAAGTTGCGGCTGAAGGCATACTAAACAGGACGATATTCGTCAGCGCACACCCTTTTTTTT